CTTCTTCTATTTAAGACGTTAAAGTCTAATGGACCTTAATTTGATGTCTTAATTAGCAAGAATTGGTGAGACAGTTAAAAAGCTCTATGTTGCAATGATGTGCTAATAAAATTGTTTCTACAGCTTGTTTCTGGCAGGATGATGCTTGGCAGCTGAGTATTCCAATTGAGGTGAAAAGAATAGACACTAAATGAATAGCTCAGATCGTTACACAGAGCAATAACTTGACCTTCCTCCTGATCAACCTGATAGCCCTTCCTTTTAGCTAAATGATTCTTTAATTAGTTCATTGCCCTCGTAGGAGTTTGGAGATAGTTCTTTGGAGTATAGCAGTAAAAGACAAGAAGAACAACAAGGTTCTTCTAGAGAAGGTCATTTCTGCCTGGGAACAACCTTTAGAAAACCATGTTCTTTTAAAAGTCGGAGTTACCTCTTACAGCTCCCATCTAAGAAAACTGTAGAGAGCTTGTAGCTTCACAGAAGAACAGAGGTCGTATTGTGTTTGAATAATATTACGACTTTTTGGCCTTCCTGTCTTCAGACAAATTGGTCTGGATTTTTTTTCCTGGGGATGCATAAGGTATCCTTCAACTGCATAGCAAGAAGGCACAAATGGTCATCCTTCAAAATTCCCCAGGGAATAGCATTTATAGCAGTGTGGAAAGATGAATGGTACACTCAAAATGTACCCTTTTTATAATGTTTGGGAAAAAATAGTAGTATTGCGTTCAGCTTGTTTAAATGACTAGAAATGTCTCGGGTGGCTATAGAAATATGAAGATACTGATGCACAAACTAGCACTGGGGAACTGACCCAAATCTATAAATTAGACCCAAATCTAGCACCCAAAGCTATAAAATGTGAGAAGGTGTACTTAGACTGCAATTTCTTGGGTTTTTTATTACATTGAGACCTACTTGGTCAAAGGAACATGCACATTGCACGAGGGAGACATCTACGAGAAGCTAACATTAATAAAGATCTGTATATTTCTTTATTTCATAATAAGGTATAACTACGCAGAAATTAAGTGTCTAGAACTATACTTCAGTGTCCGTAAACATTCTTTATTTTTTCCTTTCATTATAGTTCTCTAATCCTTCCATATTATTTCTGAACAGTCATTACTTACTCACACAGCAAGAAAACTTTGCATGACTTGAATGGCCATGAGATTTAAGTAAGAGTAAGTTATTTAAAATTTCTCATCCTTTTAATCAAATATATACAGAAGAGAAACTATTAGAGAAACTAAAACAGAAAAAAAAATGTTTACCCTTCTTGAAGAAGTGGGGCATGATGACTAGATCTAACATTAAGAACCAACACATTCTTACCTGCAATGTAAGCGCACCGTACTAGATCATAGATAAAGAATCACTCTATAGTGGTGTTTTTTAGGAAGTACAGCTAGAACATTAGATTCATGAGACACAATGTTGTACTGATTCTCTAACATCAGCCACTGGTACAATTTGTTGCTCCATGGTTTTGGGGAATAAAGGAAAGCAGAATGTTAAACCAAGGAATGACAAAATGACCATCACAAAGCAGTTGAATGGCTATAACACTAAAATAATAAAATTATTGGTATAGGACAAAAAAGGAAAGGAAAGAACAATATGAAATTAATTAATAACCTTCCAGCAATAGTCATATAAAAAGTCATTTACGTGTTATATTTTCTAGCCTTAGTTTAGAATGGATTTTTGTAAGCAGATGAGTCGTTACATGCAATACGTAAACGCTGTGGGTATTTCTAAACTATTGCCTTGGATTATGAACATCCTAAAGCTTTTGTTGAACACCTTCATCAAAACACATACTATGCACTAAGCAGTTATTCCTGTAAAATGCTGCTCTCCCACCCTTATTACAGAAAATCCCTCTGAAGTTGATTTCTGTCTAGAATGCTGAGTATATGAAGGATACTTTAGCAGAATTCTACCCTAATTCACATTCACTCTGAAGCTGGATGACACATATGCATGCTTTCCTATTGCTGGTTACACTGGTTGAATGTTCAAACTGAAAAATCAGGAAGAACATATGTGCATAGTTTATTTCACATATTAGGAAGTTTGTATGTTTCTTGTCAGATCATATCTGCAGAATTAGTGTCAGTAATACTGACACTTTTAGTTTTGCAGTAGGTGTACCAGTCACCACGAAAACATGAGCGCATAGGTTTCAGCATGGGACTGCAATTGGAGTGTAAACCCAGTATTTACGAACCGAATGTCCCGCTCAGCTACTGGTTCTTGATTGCAGCATGTACATGCTAGCTTTAATAACACATTTATTTTCCCATGTTGAAAGTACACAAAAGGCAAAAATTTTTCCTTTTTCCTGGTGCAGACGGTCTTCTGCTCTTCATTGTATCATAGAATTATAGTGCAATAACTGTTAAAATTATAGTGTAATAAGTGTTGATGTAAGCTGGCTTTTTAGTAGCAAATGATCGTAAGTTTTACAGATGTTCTGTTGGATGTGAACTTTGCAAACAATTCTACATTTCAATGCCTTACCCAGATTCTAAATATTCTTGCTGATGAGAATTACCATCTTCCAAACAATTCAGCTGATTCTGTAGAACAGCAAGAATTATCACGCTCCTATCCACTCTTTCTTTTAATTGCAACATCTATTATGTACACTACTTAAAATGCTCTACAAACCCAGTTCCTGATGTGTCCTGCAGTTCTCAGAATTCTGTTTGCTTAGAAGTATGACTATCTGGCATGGAAAAGCATGGAAGCAGGAAGTGACGTACTCTGTTGGTCCATTATAGAATTTGCACTGCCTATTTCATTTTCAAAAAACTGCTCCTCCTTCTTTTCCTACCCACCGGTCCTCCCAGGCCTGATGCAGGAATTACTTTGTGTACCTGACTTCAGTGGAAGCTGGTGATGCTTGCTGGCTTTGCTCAAAAATTTGAAAAATTGTGCAGTATCAAAAATGTGGAAACAACTGAGTTCAGTGAATGAGAGTGACGTGCATTTAGTCTGACAGGAATTTGCTAACTGAGGAATGCAACAGAAGTGTCAACTGTTAAAATAAAGGAGTCATCTCACTTCCACTGGAAGCAGAAAAGGTCCGACTATGTTTGAACAGAAAGAACAGGATGGAAAGAAAGTAAGGAATAAAAGAGGAGGGACTAAGTAGTGTGGGTTGATGCCAATCATTTCTCAGACTTGCTTTAGCTCCAGTGTATAAGAGACAACATTGTATTATGTCTGAAACCTCTAGTTCTTACAAGAATATACTTGTTAAATGCAACCCTGCGCTAGTTTTGAATCTTTCTGCATGCAATTGTTCAGTTTTTAACCACTGTCTTATGAGGTAAGATAACCAAGATCTTCTGTCTTAAAATAATCTACATTTATTTGCTAGTTTAAATTTTGGGGTAACAATTTATTGGATTAAAGCCCGCCAAATCAGCATGAAGTATCTCAAATGTAATGAATTCAGATAGATGGGTGTGTGTGAAAAGTGCTGAGACCCTTCCCCTGAGACATTTAGGGGCTACGAGCGCTGCAGAGTATCCTACACAGCTTTAAATGGCGTATGGGAGGCTGCCACAGCCCCGTTGCTGGAGAGGAGCTTACTTGCGAGCAGAAGTCAATCCCTTCCCAGTAAGCAGAAGTGTGCGAGATACATCCATGGCTACAGCCAAGCTGTGAAGTAGCACACATGACAAATCTTACGTTCAGGAATTCCCTCTATATTGTATCACCAGAAGACAGAGTAGTCTGTTTTCAGAAAGAGGAAAACACTTTCTTCACTCTTTCAAATCTCAGCCAGATTTCACTGGGCAAAGCATTACAGATTTAACAGGAACCTCAGTGGGCAGTGGAGGGGAAAGACCGCACTATATGAAGAAGCAACAGAAGAGGTTTAGTATGGCATCCTAAATTTTATGCTAGAGTGAGTTTTGATACAGTAAGACACAGTAAGTTGTGATTTGGCCAGGGTGACTAAGGAAACAGGATTTCTTGACATCTTCCTCAGCATCTCAGGAGGTAGTGATTAATACTGTTTGCTTGCTGTAGGTTTACTGCTGCAAGCTGCTCAGTCCTTTAAAGCGCTATGGATTGATTTGGGAATTATTAGCAATTGCAATAGTGATAAATAAATTTATGAAAAGTGAAGAGAAGAAAATACATAGAGCTGTTTAACACTGTGACAAAATGGAGATTTTTTACTTCTGCAAAGCTTCTCTGTTATAAATGGATACAAATAACTAGAGAAGAGTCAAGCCATAATCTCCAGGTTACCCTCTCAGTTTAGAAAAATTACTCTTACTATTGCGTTAGCAAATATCGACCTCTTTTGGGGTGGGGAAGATTCTGAAGATCCTTGCCCATCTCCTGAATAAAATTCTAAGAACATGGAAGATGCTGAAGAAATCCTGAATTGTGTGATAGGTAAGTGATGATATCTTGTTTCATGGCTAGGCAAAGTTACATTTATCCATAAAAAACTTAATGTAAATGAGACACTTAAAACTTTCCAAAATTATCTACGGCAGAAACTTTTGATTCATGAGGAATCTGATCTTAAAGGTAACATTTAGGCTAGAAAAAAGTAAAGTTGTTTCCACTTCATTCTTAATTTCCCTTTCCACGTAAAGGTATAATTTCGTTGGGGTTCCCTTGGGATAGTGCTATCTATAAACCTTCCAGGAAAAACTGGTCAGCCTGCTCAGGAAAGAAATCATAAGTGTTGGGAAAATGTGACATCCACATTTGGCTTTGTTTTGTAGTTCGTGTACATTTCCTCAAACACTAAAAGACATTACCATATATATGGTTACATTTTCCAGCAAGTGTTACCACTAACTTGGACATGTGGCTTTGTATTATGATTTAAACATTGCTCAAAAATACACAGCCTTTCCTGAAACACAAATAAGCCAGTGCCTAACTATCACAAATGTTCTTTACTTAGGTGTTTGTAATATATAAAAGCATATATTGAAAAAAGTGGAATTGCTTACCTCAAAAATATAATCTTTTCCATCCTTTCCATGTACAGCTTTAACAGCACAGATGTCCAAACCACCAAATATTTCAGAACAGGTGTCAACCCAAAGCTTGTACCTGTTTTATAAAAATAATTTTTTTTCTGTGAGTATCTCATCAGGCTCTTGTTCTTCTACAGGCTTAACCTAATAATGTGTTTTATATAACGTTTGCTCTAAATTCAGAATTTTCACTATATTGTCAGCTTTACTGAATTTGTATTTCCCAGAATAGTAGCTTAGAGATAATGGCCTGATTACTCTACTTTTCCCAGTAGAATCCAGAAAAGCTGTGGCTCTGTATCCTGGCCTAGTGTTATGCTGGATTCTGTCCCAGTTTTTACTGGTCCAAACATGTGTCTGCTCTAAACTGTGAGTAACCTGAAGATAAGATATGCTGGAACACCAAGAGCATTTAGCTGTCCCCCATCCTGCATTTCCAGGGCCCTTACGCTCGTACAGCTTGCTAGTTGTGGCTGTACTTTCTGCGAGAACTCCACAGAAGGGGGATTTATCACCTTACCAGTTTGGGTGGCTTGGGCGATGCCGAGGGGTTTTACAAAGTAGGGAACAGGGCTTCTGTTTTCCTGTGAAATTCAAACTTGTGCATCTGTGCATAGATTCAAGTGTGACAATCCTCTTGCTTATTATGCTTGGTAGTGTACTTAATCATGTTTTTTTAATCATGTTTTACTCTTTCATCAGAAAAAACTAGAATGAGAGTCTCTGTCTTAAATTACAGACGCAACTGTATTCCAAAATAGCAATGATAGCTTTGCATGTACATCACTGAACATGGCAAAAGAAAAATCAAGACAGAACAACCCTTAAGATGATGCAAGAGAAACAGATGTATGACACTATGTAAAAGTTATGTAGCGTGCAGACAAGGATAATATTCTTCATGTTGGGTTATAGACAACTACGGCAAAATTCAACAGAAATGTAAAGAATCCTGAGGAATTCTACAGCTCCTAAACCCAGCTTGTCTTTCATACAGTATCGAACACAAGAACTCCTCCATTTCATTTCTAACCTCATGGCAAGAAATACGGGCTAAGGAACGGGCAGTTTACCCATTCTACATGCAGTAATATGATTCATTTTTCTTGCATGAAGAGCTTTATCCATCCTATGAATAGAGAGATTATCTGACTAACAAGGGAATGAAGAAACAGTGAGGCAATTCCTGTGATCAAGTACAGAGCTGTCAGTGACATAACAGGAAGCCGTAATACTTTGCTGAGAGCGTTCTGAGGTGATGTAAACTGTGCGTGTTTGCTCAATGGCAGGGATTGACTCACAGGACACAAAATAGCATTGAGAACTTTCATTAACTAATAGCATAGCTGTGCATGGGCACCAGTAGGTGATGATATGGTCTTGAAAGGTTATACAGGCAGATATCACGGTTCCCCCGATGGAAGGACGTATTTTGCTTAAAAAAACCCACCAGTTTGAAAGCAGCCATTTATCATAATCTTTCTTCTTTTCCATGGGCTAGCATTTGAGTATAAATCAGAGCTTATTTCCTTTAGCAGACACTCTCATGCTCTCTCCTCATCCAGCCTTTGAGCCATGATGATAGATTTGCCACATCATGGTATTTTCCATTGCAAAAAAAATTGATGTAATAAACGTAGCATTTGACTTCATTGTAGGATCAAAGGAAATTCGTTGCCGGGCTGAGCGTTTTACTCATATATAAATATCTTCTGTAACAGCATCCTTTCCAAGTAAACTTATTAGGTCACATTCTTTATATTTTCTAATATCAAGTCTGTTCCAGGGGAAAAGTTTTTCTTTTAAGCAGAATACAAAGAAATTGATACAACTGTTTGAAAAAATCCTGATGGTAATATTTTAGCAATGAAAAGAATTTTTTTCCTGTGAGAAACATGTTTTTTGTCCAAAATGAGAGGGTTTTTTGGATGCCTGACAATTTCAACATCTGTAGATGCACTGACTGACTGGACTGCTTGCATACACTTGCTTATAAATAACTTTTTTTGGCTGTACAATACCAACGTCTATCTTAGAAAGTCATGAGGGCAGCAAAACTTGTCTTTAACAGTAAATATCTGGACTTTATATATAAAAAAATGAAGACATTTTCTTTAAAATACCGAAACATCAATGAAAGCATTTTTTATAGTCTATCTTCTGCCAGCAAACACTGAGCTGGAAAAATACAGTTACATTTGGAAAGAGAGGTCTTGGCTGGACTAGCCCGTAGTGTTTTAAACCCGAGGCTTGCACAGTAGGTTTGACAAGAGGCCACGGTTCTTATTTTCCCAGAGCCAATATAGTGTGCAGCAGCCTTAGAACTGACAGCTAATAAAGTACTGTTCCTCACGTGTCTGGCATGAAATACCTGGTGCGCCAGATGAGGCGTGCACAGTTAGCATAGGTCTCTATTTTTCTGGTCCTACCTAGAGAGCAGTGCCTCTCTGAAATAGAGGGATCAATAAGAACATGCAACATTGAAATGTGCTTGTTCTCGGCCTCGTTATTGTCCCTTACTGCGCCACATTCTTCTTTCTTCTCTAAACTTCTAGACCAAGATTTGTATTCAGTCAACAATGCCCACTCAGGCAGTGCTTTCAAAGCACTTCTTCCTAATTCATGAGATGTATTATAAACACAGGCATCAGATCTGATTGCTTTTGGTATGCTGTTAAACTACTTCAACGCCTCAGAAAACGTCGATTTTCCCTTCTCTTCCTTTCTGTGCTTTGTGCGCTTCAGTGTGTAATCAAACAAAAGGTGGGGCTGTGTGATACGTACCCCCTTCTGTTATGAGAAAACATCCAGCTTTTCTATGCTTTTGTCTTCATCAGCATAAAAGAAGTTTTGTTTTGTTGGCTAGTGTTTTTTTAATAGGAAAATACCTGTTATGCTCTAATTATCTCACATGCAAAAATGGAAGCAGAAGGCAGCACACAGAGCGTTTACCGTGAGGTAGCTAGGCAAGGTTAGCATTTCATACTCGTTACCCATACGTGATATTGGTTAGTTTTCCTTATGGCAGAACTAAAGCGCCTGTGTTTTTACAGAGGAATACCTCATGGACTGTAATTACGCACACTCGAGCACACTCTCTCTTTTCCCTCTGAGTGAAGGCATAACCTCACTTTCTAAAGGAAGGTGGGAGGGGAATGAGAAAGAGAAAATAATGTGGCTCCGCTCCATCCCCAGAGGGGAGATCAGTGAGGACACAGTCTAGACAGGGGTTGGACAGCAGGGAGTTGTAATTCCTGTCTTATTTGTTTTCACCTTTCTCAGGGCAGGCAACGGTTCAGTCCCTGTGTCTCCCTCAGCTCATAAGAGGGACCAAGTAGGCTCCAGTAGGCTCCAGACTTTAAAAAAACCCCAACATAAAAAACACCAGAAAAAGACTACTGTTGAAGTTTAAAACACCTTTTGACTTACACTTTTATTGTACTGAGTTTTTTAGCTTCCACTGGTAGCAACCTTTGGAGAAGCTGAACAAAGGAAAATTCATAGCCATCAAAAAGCCTCATAGATTATTTTGCAGGGAAAAGAGGTCTATATGTTGGGGGGGAACTTGGGAGCAAGTGAGCAGTATTGAGAGAAGAGTTCTGTCAATAGAAGACCTGAGCTTCAAAATGAAACTGCAAGGAGAATATGTTTGACTGGATTGCAAAAAGTAGCCAGCGTAACGACTGGAGAGAAAAAGAAAAGCACAGTAAACCAAAGTACAGAGCTGGAACGATGGCATGAGGGAAATAAGCTTCAGTATATCCCAGCATCTGGGTAAAAAGCCTCACAGTGCAGTTTAGTGGAAATTTCAAAAATGAAAAATACGCAATTTAGCAGGATCGAAAGTAGAAAAGAGAAATATGATTTAAACAGGCAAAGTTAAGACTAGGTGGCTTGGTTATCATGGATGACGTAGAAGGAGAAAAGTTTAAGATACTGTGGCACAGGGTAAGACTGTTAGGTAAAAGAGGGCAAACGAACCTGAGGAAATGATTGATAGGTTGAATCTGAAAAATGGACTTTTCTGAAGGGAAAAATTGGAAGTTTTCTAGGTGCAGATAGGGACGGAGGAACCCAAGGGTACTCATAAGCACCCAAGGCTGGTACTTAGTTTGGGTAGTTGACTCTGAGACAAGGCATAGAGAAACTCTTGGCTCATTTTCTTTCATCTAATTGAAAGGGGTTTTTCCAAAATGAAAGGAGACATGCATTTACTGTGAATTGCACATCTACAATGGGATTTTTAGAAAACTGATTTAAAATAAAATTTCATTAATCTTTTTTTAATTACCTTTTACATGAGACTCGACTTACTTATCTGACATAGCAATTTGTTCCAACATTGCAGAGCCCGTGTTTGTCTTCCAGTTTCCGGATATGGAAGTTCTCCTGAAAGGGGGAAAATATTACAAAGACGGCCAGTGGTTTTATATTTTCATTATCTCTTAAATGACTCTGATTTTCACATGAATACTATAGCAGTATTTACACCTTTTTCATATCTGGCAGCTGATAACAGAACATCTCAACCACAAAGAATTCCAAGAGGCATCGCAATTGTTGGTAATACTCACTTCACTGTAGGCATGTTATGAAGAAGTATGACACTGCTGTGAAATTTGTGTTCCCCATTTATTCATTTAAGACTTTTTTTTTTTTTAAAAGACCTACTATGATTAAGTGAAAGTGTTAGCAACAAGCTGTTATCAGTTATAAATGGATTAAATAGCCTGTAACGTACTATTACTGCAAATGTAAAGCAACTGAAGCTTCAGCTTCTCATTTCAAATTCCTGTCCCTGCAGAGTTAGGTCCCAATACTTGGGAATCAACATACCTATCTTTTTAACACCCCTGAAGTGATCGCAGCTCTCTTTTAGAGATGGATTTTGGTTCCTCCTCCAGTTTTCACTCTTTGCTAGTTTACTAATACAATCTAAACAGCTTATGCCAAGGCTTGAGTATACCATCTTTTACTTATTTCTAAGAAAAAAAAAAAATCATAAAAAGGTTTTTTTCTCCTCAGACCTCAGGACTGCTACCAGGGCTGAGAAGATTACCGTTTTCTGAAACCTAAATGCTGTACTGGGAATAAGCTAAGGGTACAAATTATGAAGTGTTTGCAGTTAGTAAAATAATAGGAACATCTGTAATGCATTAAAAGTATATTAGGCAGCAGCTATAGTTTTCTCTCCATTTTTCTATTAACCTAATTACGAGGGTCAGTAGCAGTTGTGGGGGAATGTTGACTTCTCTACGGGACCCTCGTAAAGTTAGCTGAATTTTAGAGCGTAAAGTTCTTGTAAGGTGCCATATTCTTCATTGATGGGGGAGAAACTAGTGAAAGGGAAAGGTGCACATTGAGCGCTGCGTGTAAGGTAACTTTGCCCTCTAATAACACTATTTTGTGATTTCTGCTTGATTTTTCAAGTGATATCTATTGACATGTGTGTACTTACAAAGTAAAAATTTTAAGTTTGTTACTTCTCTACACACATATTCTGCATCAGTGAGATAACACTTCTCACAAATCACAATTCAACTCTATTGCAGACTTCTCAAAGGCATTCATTAGCATGTAGTGCTTCAGGTGGTTTTTAGGAAGCAAGATGTGACCAAATCAGAGAAAAAAAAAACTGGCCTGAAGACTTTTAGGAAGTGTTTAGTTCAAGATCCTCAGCTGCACTGATGTCATCTCAGCACTACTGACTACAGGGGAAAAGACGGTCACTCCCCAACGTGAAAGGTCCCCTGTTGAACCTGAAGCAGTCTCACGACTGGATGCTTGGGTGGCTGTACCAATGCTGTAGGGACCAGACGAGGACTGAGAGGAATACGATGGACACAGACCTAATTGGTGTAATCTCAGCAGCTTGCGGGCTGGAGCTGCTGATGCTAGGTCTGTCACACAGAACTCCAGAACAACAGGGGTTCCATTAGACCACAGTTAAGGGATGGAAAAGTACCCGACCAGACCATCTGGCACTTCAAACCTTTGATATGATTTCTGTAATTCATATCATTTCCTCTGCTGAAATATATAGGTTTCCTACCCTTCTTCACGTGCGTTCTGATAACTGCTAAGGGTCTTTCACAATGTTATTTCCTCCTCTTTTACTGAATACTGAACAAAATAGGAAACAACTCCTAACACTTTTAAGTGCTTTACACTTAGGCTTAACATGTTTTCACTTGATTTGGTCTTTGCAAAGAAGGAAGAACTGTTTTAAAATTGGGGGAAAAGGAATTATGATTACTATAAACAATTCACAGTAACTCCAGCTTCCCCTTTTCCAGCACCTTTCTGCTTTATTTAGTACCATTTAAAGTACGTAATCCAAATTGTCTGGACAGGGACTTGTCATCAGAAAATCTGTCGAAATGTCTACCTATAATTCTTGTGTCGGTAGCCTGCTTAACCATTTAATTCTACAGCACTGTCTTTCTTTGGTTGATGTGCTCTACTTTTGTTTTATTGACCTTTTGATCAAAGTACATTAAGTTATGGATTCAGCGTATTGCTTTTGGAGAGGAGATTTTGATGTAGTCTTTTTGTATTTCTGTTTTTCTTCATCGTGTGTGACCCTTTTAAGTCTATTTCCTTGAAGTCAGATGAATTTTGTAATGGTACCAAGTGTAGTTAAGTATGCGTCACAAAGCGTTTTGAGGAGCTGTGGCATTTAGAGGGATCCAATGTTGCATTTTGGCTATAATCTCTACTGACAGATGATAAGCACCAGTGTTTTCTGAGTCATGGATCCACTTATACCACAATTTCCCACAGAATATAAAACTGAAACTCTTAATAACTCTCTTTAAACTGCAAAAACAAATGTTCAGCTGGTATTTTTTTGTGGTGGCTCTCTAAGTACTCTGTTCCTGTGTCACAGAACAAAATGAGAACCAGCTGTCAAAGAATATTCTGCTGATATAATGTATATGTATGCATATGAAGAATTTTACAGACGTTTGGTAAATCTTCTCCTTTTCATGATGCTTTGTAACAATGGATCGGTATTGCATTTTTTGGTGTGATTTAACTGTACGAAAGAACCTAGAGAAAAAACGATTGCTAGGCTTTTAGCATTTGGATGAACCCATACTTTCTGAGTAGAAACTTAAAAATAAATAAAAGGTAGGAGGAACAGGCTGTCATTTTAACTTATTTTTGCTGTCCCTTAGGCCAACTGCTTCTTCTATGAAGAAGAAACATTTATGTTTGAAAATGATAAATTTCCTGTGGCTGACTCTTCCAACATTATACTAGAGACCAAACAGCACTTAAATTTCAAGTCAAAGAAAGAAACGTAGGGCTCCCGCTTATGAAATGTAGCGGTTCGGTTTCTACTGTAGGGAATGAAGCATCACGTTACTAATATTGCATCTGACAGCTGGTAGCTGGCAGTGTGTCATAACCATTAAGAGCTGGGCCTTATTCCGAAGACTCTGCCACTTGGGAGCTGTAAGACAGAGACAAATCAACTCTGTTTATTGTAAACAACAGAGGAGGGGAGAGATGGGTAGCGCAAAACAAGAAATCTGCCTGTCAAAGCACCGGGAAGAGAGAGGAGTACTATCCTAGCCTTGAAGAGGCAGAAGTAGTTGTATGAAAAGGTCTGAGATAGAGAAAAAATGGTGACTGGTAGCAGAGGGAGAACAAAGCTGTTGAATGGCACTGAGTAGAACAGAAGGGGCAAGGCACAACCTGGGGCAACTAAAAAGGTTAGACATTAAGGGGTGAGGACTAAGAGACAGAAAAGTAGAAGTGGTCTGGGAAAGCGGTGGGACTGGAGCAAGATATGGTTTGGACAGATAGGAGAGAGGTGAGCTTGCGGTGTAGGGGTATGGTGCTATTAGAAAAAGTAGGATGGATGTCTCCAGCTATGGGGCTAAAGCCAGGAAAAGTCAGCAGTCTGGAACACCAGTGTAAGACAGACATGCAGAAATGGAATTATCTTTCCTGGAGACGCAGGGGCTAAAAGGTGTATCATTCAGAAGTACTTTATGATTCTTATTGCCTATAGGGAGAGGTGGAGTAGACTCAACACATCTAACATTTTGTTGGGAGCTTGAATTACAGAGTTTCTGTCTGAAAAGTCACCAACAAAGGATTCCAGAACCTAACTTTGTCTTTAATGCTACAAAACATTTTACGCAGCTCCAACTTTTGTTTCTCTTAGTATTTATGGTTTGCTTGGAATTCAATCATTTTTACTGATAAAGAATTTGACTGTACCTTGCAAATGTCAACACACAAGAAATCTCTGATCCCTCCAACGTTACAGGAGTTCCTGGAGAAATATCTTTGCGCGCGTATGTGGGTGTGCATATGTAAATGCGTATATGTATTTTTATCTATGTTTTGTTATATTTTGCCTGCCTCAGATCTGTAAGCATGAGGGAACAAATACGTAAGACGATCTAACTTGTCTTAAAAACATGAATTAAATGAGTGTATGTCAGATTACATTGCTTGATAATTGAAATAGAGTAAAAATATGCATAAATACAGTTACCATAGCTCAACTACTATGTGATAACCTGTTTTACTGCTCCAGCTTAATGTTGTCTGTGCAACAGAAACACCCATTTTTTAGCCTCTCGTATAGTCATGATCTTTAAACAAACACCTGGATTCTAAAATGAGAAGATATTTTCATCCATATATGTGAAGGCCACTGCAAGATTAGAATTTTTCTTCCATGTGTTATGTTAAAAGGAGAGTACTTTGTTCCATTCAAGTGTTATTATTCAGGTTTGTGTGAATGAATGCCATCTAAATATCCCTAGGGGGAGAAGAAAATTTGATCCTAAATTGCCAAAAAGATACGAAGGAATCTGATTTAACAAGGCCTCTATGAAAGCAAATCCCCTTCCAACTGCACCTTTCTTTAAATGAAAAAATAAACAAAGGTTAGCAGGAAAACCACTCTGGCAGGCTCAACTGTTACCTCATTCTCCTCCTCCCAGTCACAATCAACTTAAAAAGAAGTCTTAATAAATCTAGGAAGACTAAAATATTGTCTTTCCAGGGAGTATGACAATGGAGGCACGAAGTCACTGCATCAACTCAGAGACTCATCCAACACTCTTAATCTTATTGCTGCTTATCAATGTTGAAACAAAAGAATGGAAGTATATAAGTTTTTGGCTCACATGTATGCTTTGTAGTTATTGCCTATCTTTTGGATCCTGATGTCATATTTGGAGTCTATGAAGGGTTCAGTAGTGGCGTAGGTCTGAGTAAGTGCTACCACGCTGGCTATGTCCTGAAAGTCGTAGTGGTTGTCTACCTTGATCTGTAGTCATCATACCACAAATAAACAGCATATACAAAAGAAAAAAGAGCAATTAGGAACAAAATGTAGAATTCAGTTGCAAATGGCATTCATGAGAAGCATGCTTTTTGACAGCATCGGTTTATAAAAAAAAGTATTGGATTTTTTCTCTGATTTCTAGATTCTATTGGATTCCTGCATTAAGGTACCTGTTTTTCTTGGCAAAACATTACCTGTTCATCTGTAAAAAGCAATATGCAGACAGTGGAATTTTATTTTGCTTTTCAGTTTTTTAAGTGGTGATTGTTAATTTTAGATCTGCAGGCTTTAGAATTTTTCAAGGCATGATAATATGCAACACTAATTTATATAGAATTCTTGTTGATTCTGTAAATTGCTCATGCAACTGAACGCATATGGAGTCCCCCATGTACTGTCACATCATGTATCTGCTGGGAGGGAGGAGATGAAGGGTCGTGATACCCTGATGAGGGCGCATTCACATGGAGCACAGAGGGTTGGCTCAAGACAGCAGAACCAGTTTTTCCTCATTTTTCCCACTTCTCTGCAAGGAGTCAGGCTTTCTAGGAGTAGGATTTCCTAGTTGAACACTGTGCTAAGATGGTGAATGGTACTAAACCAATCAACTTTAATGTCTTGAAATAGGAGGGAGGTGGAAAAGGGGAGAATATTGATTTAGGGAGAGAGGGAGAAGGAGACGTTAGAGGCCAGATGGAGGACAGAGGCGTTACTTTTGGACAGGGAGGACACATGTCTATGGTTGACTTCAAGGAAGCTGGCTGAAGGGGGGAGAAAAAGTGACTTGGAAGACAAGTCTTAGAGCTGGTAGGAAATGGAAGAGGGAAACTGGAACTGCAACAACACACTGTTGTACCTACAGTACATTTCAGAAAGGTGAGGAAAGGAGGCAGGGATTAGTGATTTGCGTGTTATCTATTAGGAGAGTCTGCAACTCTTTGCAAGCCCAGCGTCTTATTTGCTTCCACTGTCACCTGGTTGGTGCTTAAAAGGGAAGTGGTGGGCCAGAGTGCCACAGCTGTGAGATGGGACTTGCATATTAAATGGGATCTGGTGAAGCTAAAAGAAGTCATAAGGCCTAAGCATTTGCTCTCAACGCTCAGATGGAGAGTAATACAGAGTAATTTGCGATTTGAGAGCCACAAAACTAGACCCAATGCCCGGTTTCTACTTAGTTTCTGAAAAAATAACAGCATATGCGAGTCTAATTACGACCAATGGCAACACTACTCCTGGCAATGCCTGTAGGGAGGGCTGGGGGACGTGGAGAACCTTTACTTGGACTCTGACAGTAAGCATTTCACTACAAAACCCCTGGCATTTAAACTTTAAGGATGTAAAATACTTTATAGCTAAAAAAATCTAGATTAATTTCTAGACATTTCATATGCTGAACTTTTCTGTGTATCATTTCCCTTTTCTTTAAACAGGAGGTGAATATTGAAAGTATGGTATAAACATTCTAATACTTCACATGTGCAATCCACAGAAACTGCAGTTTAAGTAATTAGCGGTTAATTCTGCTCTCAATTAAATTGGCTGCTGTATTTCCACTGACTTACTAAGTACGAAATAAAGCAAAACAGTCATAGGCAAAGAACATAACATACAGTACAACTTACGTAATTACTGAATAAAATACAATTCAATCAGTTTTCTACTTCTGTTGCTAATGGCAAATACTATGTTCATGGAGCTTTTGGATTCTTTGATGATTTGTTTTAAAGTCTAAAACACTTAAAGCACTGAAGTGTTTTCAGTGAGAGAAAGTGGTTAATCTGTAATGACTAGAAATTTTCACTGATACCAATGAAAACGGGATTTAAATCATATCCCATCAAACCATCATTGTGAGATAAGTGATATCAAAACAACTGTACTCACCACTGAAACGCAATTACTTTGGAGAAAGAAAGCAGCAGTTATATAGTGGTATGAAACAATCACAGAGAATACATTAAGACAGGAGATGAAGAAAAGTTCAGTACCAAGCTGAAACTAATAAAGAACCAAGGCAAAACCTTCCTATATTCCCAGGTCCAAAAAGATGGATTGTGCAAACAGACCTTGACTCTGAAATAGTTTCACTGCAGTCAACTAAATTAATAAAAAGGGTTCTGCTTCAAGAAAGCACCTCGGCATGTTTCAAGGAACGTCCTATATAGGACAAAGCATAAACTGAAAAGGCATCAGTGTGAAAATAGAGTATGCATTTCAATATTTTCCTAAAGAGAGGTGCTTTCTTGAATAATATACAAGCAGAGATTGGCAAGGGTAGGGATCTCAGACAGAATTTGGACAATGAAAAGTTAAAACATCCAGGAAAGAAAAGAACATGCGTGTTATTCTAGACAAGCACCCGGCCTCCTAACATGCAATAAGTAGCATCTGCACCTTTCCCATGCCTGAATGAGCATGTCCAATCTTCACAACAACAGGAAATGTCGGCATTGTTAGCTAAGGGGAAAACAAAACAGACGTATTAGAGCACGCAACCTGGAGTTAAATGATTAAGCTACAGCATTTGTGAAAATTATTTAAACATGACCCTAATGCAGCCAAAGCTGTTCTGCCCTGGGGGTATTCGAACATGTTATTCATCTGTGTAAGACTATGTGTCCCGATGAATTACTGTGTGTGTGTTCCGAGTGCTACGTTATTCCCCATGCATACAGCTGGTGTACTTCTATCGTAACTTTTTTGTATGTCTTACTTTTGACTTCACTTTTTAAACTGAATTTCCGCTATTTCCTATTTTGCTATTGTGTTTTCTGACCCATAAACTCACACTCTCCAAGGTTATAATCATTAATGACGTTAAATTAATCACCTTTTTTCTTTTCCCCTCGATTTCCATTCTTTAGCAAGGCTGTGAATTCTTTTTATGACCACTTATGAAAGCAATGATCTCTAATTCACCAAAACCCTTTCTTTAAAGGCAGATCCTAGCTTCTGTTACAGAATATCCAAGTTCTCTAGGGAAGGCTCCAGCTTCTGCATAGAATGCAAGTAATAATTCAGCCACTGATTAGGAAATCAAATATGCAAAGGCATATGAATATGCTTCATTCAGTCAAATGGTAATGGTTCTGTCTCTCAGAAAGAATAACCAGTTTAGTTCCATCATTCATCTGAAGACGTTTTAGATCTCCCCGTCATGGGTACAGCTGTCGCTTCTCTGTCTTTTTCTTCCATCTACAGTGTACATATATTGAACCTCTATCAGCCAACCAAGCATAAATACAAATACTTAGTAGAACAGGATTATAACTAAAATAAAAAACTGAACACTGACATGTAGTTAAGCTGGGCAGCAGCAGGACAGCAAGTGTTACGGGGTCTGAAACCTTCATTTAGTACCAAATTTTAACAGAGTAAATACAATCAAAGGCAAAGCTGATGCTTTAGAAAATAAACTAAGAATTCATAGAGATTTTATGAGAAATTTATTTTCTAAATACTTACAAGGGATTGTCAAGAGGTTAAATGGAGTTCACACTTATCTCACTGTACTTTGCAGAACATTGCACAGAAACACACAAACACAAACAGATATTTACATGAAAAATGTCATGGGACCATAAATATTGATGGTAAGATCAAGAGATAAAGAATAGGAAGGTCACTTGGCTTTTGATAACATCCAAACCTATTTGTAGGGTTATAAAGCTAATTAAAATTCACAGATGTTTTTCCCATATTTTAAACATTTATTTTCGATATGATCTATGGATGCCTGCTTTGCAAACACTTTAACTGAAAGGCATCTCTGCACAAGAACAAGTGGGCATTCACTGCAAGGTACATATTCTATACTACTTACCATCAGATTCCCAATACAAGACATAAGCCTCTCTCCTTTTTTTTTGATGGACTTTCTCTGACACTCCTAAAATACATACCCATGCAATATTGTTTTGTTCTTTTTTAAAAAAAAACATATAAAGGACACCTAAGCTAAAACACCAAGTTGCTTGTTTTTTGACAGAATCTCAGTTTCTGCTCTCCCTGTTCAGAAGAAAAAGGAGGACTCTTTGGATCTACTCGATTAACATTCCAGAGTTTTCAAAGCCTGATGAAACTACAGGGCCCTACAGTTGTCAGCTACCCAACACAGGCCATGGAGCTCCTGCATTGATTTCCGCATCAAACCCAAAGCTGTCTTTTCAGGAAAAAAACAGATTTGATTTAAAGGTATGAAAAATTTACTGCAATCTTACTTAAATTGTTTCATTAGTCAAGGAAAGATGTCATATACATATCTTCTGCCAGGGCATCCTTGAGATTTGAAATCAAGGATTACCACCACAGACAAGCAGACCATTTTGAACCCCACCTCTCAGTGCTTTGTAGTACCTGCGTAACCGTAGCTGCTACGCTTCAGTGCCTGTGTAAAGGCAACTTGCATTTTTTGGCAGAATTTCTGGGAATTAACACTGTAGGAATCGATAACTATGAATACTTCCAAAGTCTTTTATTTAACTGTTATTTAGAAACGATTTCAAGAGTTGGTCTTTAAATCCAAAATACATTGAACTGCTCTTTATGGATCTGTTTCAATCCAACCAATTTAAATGAAGGCACATAAGAATGAAAAAACTCATTAGTTTCAAAATAGCCAAAAGCACTTGCACAAGCATTATACAGTAAAGGTCACCTACACTGCCATTTAAAAATAAATTTCTTGCTAAACTGTAGGAATGCAAAGTCCCGTATACTCAACATCTAGTCACTTATTTATTGCTTTCATATTTTAAAACCAGCCACATTTTCTTTCAAATTTTTTTAGGGGAGGAGGGGGAACAAATCATGGCCTGACTCAAGATTCATGAGGGCAGCACCACATTTTTCAACCACTGAACCGGGGTTTGTAATGGAAATGCTGGCAGACCTCTAACTATAGCAATACAAATGGCACTCCTGTAATTAAGAGGACCATGTATTTTCCCATGATTCCAAAGCTGTGGAATCCTCGGTGGGCCGCAGGAACAAATAAAAAATAATAAAAAAGCAACTCTGCTGTCTCCCTCAGAAAACTGTGCTAACATCATTTAAGGCAATAGAGTTCATTTTGCTCTGGAGTGCGATACCAAGATTTCATGTGGTGTACCACATCCCAGCACAGACAAAGAGAAGAGGTGGTTGCAGGGGAAAAAGCCGCCGCATACTGCATTTCAAACATCAGACAGGAAAAAACGCAGGCAGCACAGAAGGCAGACAAACATGAAGTTATCCCAGCGCTTCTCTTGTTTGTACCCATCACTATGAGAGGCCCGTGAATCCAGGGCTGATGAAGTAGTTATTTTGGGTTTTGAACAGCATTTCCTTTATTCCTGCTCTGACTTCAATTACCAGTTTTCCCTTTGTACATGGGGACTAGACATGTGCCATCACGCAGTCGCTTCCCTGCCACTAACTGGTTCCAGTTGTGTGTGGTATTGTTCTGTCAAGCAATAACAAAGCCTGAAATTTCTTATTGAAATTATAGAAAACTCGATTTGAGTCCTCACCCCACCTCTTCCCAATCTCCTTTTTTACGTGAATTTCTCTCTTAACAGAACAGGCAGTCTCAAGACTTTTCATACATTTGGGTAAACATTATGTATGATACAACTGTGACAGTAATACCAAAACTTACCGTCTCCATGGGTTTCCTTTTCATTTACGTTATAGTTACTTGGTAGAGAGATACCTCGAAAGAAGATCTAGCATGTATCAATGGATCCACTTTAAACACACTTGATACTAATAGGATTTATTGCATGTTTGATTTGAAACGTATTGTTGGTAGGTAAAGGCCATTTAACAAAAATATTGCTTATTTTTCAATGGTTTTCTTAAATTCAGAAAAGTATAAATTCTACTTTGACAATTAAAAAACGAGAGGAAAAAAACAGAAAAGACCAACAACAGAAGTTACATTAAGAAATCTGGCAAGTTCACATGTATGAGAGATGGAAAGGGACCACAATGTATGAACCTTGCGCAAGCATATAATATACATTAAATACATCTGAATATTTTAAAAAAATAAATTAGGATAAACAGGACTTCTATTATAACTTAAATAACAATGCAATAAACTATAATTATTCATTAGGGAGAAAACAGACGTCAAGCATGCAATACAATTTCCCATAGTTATATATGAATATGATTGGATTGGTAATAAATATTAGTAGTAACTGGAAAAACTGGCATGGCTCTTTGTAGGAACCCATATACAAAACAGTTCAGATACACTGCTGATATTTGCTAATATGATATTATTAATCAAAATAATGTCACTGAGTATTAAGATGTTTTATCAGCTCCTAAAACCAACAAAGATGGATTCAGTCTATACACTTTCATTTCTGTGGTTTTAACTTCTCACATTGCTATTTTAAGTAAACGTAAAGTCTTATTTCAACAGAATGGTAACCTAGAATAAGTTGCACGGCTCACTTCCATGACTAGGACTAGGTACTACTAGTAGTAGGTACGACTTTGATCTGTGAACTTGAAGACATGTTCCCCAGGAGAGCAAAACGTAGATTATGTTTTGCAGATAAAAGGCAGTAGTAAAAAAATCTTTTGAAGCAGAATCCATTTAAAATCTGGATATCAGAAGTCTAGATTCCTAACTTTCAAACTGAGAAAGATTTAGGATGGAAGTTGCTTTACTGAAATTAAATGTTTTAGTGGTTTCTGTCATATATTAATAGCATGAATTAAATTTATATACTTAATGACCAGACAAATCTAATGGTTGTGACCACAAGGCACCATCAAACTGGGAGTTCACTCAAGTTTGACATGAGCCTTAATGAGTACGGCAGTAATACTTTAAAAGCTCTTGGCAGACTGGGCACCTGTCTAAGTGTGAGAAGCTTAACTCTGTCTTGGTTAACTGCACTGGGAAGCGTTCCAGGACAGAGGAGAATGAGGGATTAAATATCAGAAGTGATTAAATCTGTAATGGAAATACAACAGTATATGTGGGTTTAAAATGTGACTGTAATATCCTGTCTGAGAAATCTTCAGGTTTTTAATAACATATCTATCTTTTCCCTATCCAAATAACTATATATCAGCATTTTTCATTCAGGAGCTTATTTGCATGCTATGTAATGCTTTACTATCACTTTATTTTACATAACTAACATTTATTTTATTATTTTCAAGACAAACCAGTTGAAAATAATTATTTTAATGGTATTGTAGGAATGTCACTAAAATGGGATTCTATAATGGGCCTAATATGTTTTTTCAGATGAACACCTTTGAAGTTAATTGGTATAGTTCTCACAAGAGCAATTTTTCTAAATGAGCGGATTTGATTTTTCAGCTGTATACTTGCAATAGGACTACAGCAGCCGACAAACTGGCTCAAACCTGAGCTTCACTGGGAAAGCTTCTAAATTCCATGGGATCTGGCCTCCAAAAAAAAAGGAAACTGGAGGCCAACGTACAAG